TATGTTGAGTGTGTGAATGGGCGTTGGAGCGCAAGGTACCCTGGAGGGCACCTAGCACCTAGCCGTATTTTTGGGACAGGTGTACTTTGGTGTCGTTGGAAGCCTTTCAGTGGCCCGACTCTTGTCCTAATAGGGCTGGCCCAAGCCTTGCTAGGGTCGGGGAGGGTCAGGCCAGGATACAAACAAGTGAAGAAAAATAAAAGAAAAAACAAGAAAAAATCTTTGGTAAATTAGAGTAATCCTTATGAATTAAAGACTAGTTTACCCTCCGTAGATGTCAGCAGCCAAGAAGTCTTTTAATGCTTATCAGCCAAGAAGTCTTTTAATGCTTATCCTTTGATAGTTTTTGTGGCAGATAGATTATGTCGAATTACATAAGGAGTACAGGCCATTTTGCAAGACGGGATGCAGACCACAAGCAGGGTGCTCCACAATTTGAAAAACGTAGACCCAAGAAACGAAAGATTAAAAAAGAAATACCTATAGTTAAATGGAGGTGGTGAGGCTACCCTCAAAACGGGAGAAAGATAGTAGTGCTTTGAGGAGAGCGACAAATAAATAGAGATGAAGAAGCTATATTGCAACAGAAATCCAATGAGAACGTGTAGGCACTAAATCAATCAAAGAATATAAGTATACATAAAAAAAAAGAGGAACAACGTCAAAGAATATAAGTATACATAAAAAAAAAGAGGAACAACGATTTATATGGTTCGACCGTTTGCCTTCGTTTATATGATAACAAACTTTTCTTCCGCTAATAAAAAAAACACCATACAAATATGAAAAATAAAAGATATTACAAGCTTTCTCTCTCAAACCCTAAAACAATATCTTTCTCAATCTAGTAGAAAATGGCTAAAAAAACCTAACCCTTCTATCTGTCGTTTGCATCTCTCAGTTTTCCATCTGTCTTCTCTCTCTACAAGACTTAACTTTATAAAGAAGAAAACCCATAAATAGCCCATGTGAGGTCTGTCTCTATCTCATTCCTACTTTCTAGGTTTAGAAAAAGTCTCCCTATAGAAGTCACATGACCCTTGCTATTGGTACATGGAATCAAATCCCATAAAAATAGGACTTCCAAATAATAGGAAAAAAATCCTTAACAAAAATATCAAGTTCTCTAATGATAGGAAACTAGCATTTATGTGAATCTTTTATCCTAAAAACATGGACTTCACACATATCCAACATATGTATCTCTCTTATCCCTTATTTGAAATGAGTGAAATTTGTAAAGAATCAAATTTCGTAATTAAAAATAATTATTGAAGAAGTGCAGCATTTCTTAGTTTCTAAATAAAATACTAACATTGGAAAAAAAAAGAAAAGCTTTTCCTAATTTTCCTAAAACTGACCAAGGAAAAATAAAAAATAAATAAACAACTTTTCGTAAAACTGACCAAGGAAAGCCTTATTAAGACTCTACAATGAAAGGATTATGGCCCCAATCTCTACTCTCCTTATATCAAACTTATTTATATTTGGACTCTCTAAGTTAGATATGACTCTTCTATAGGAAATGGTTTGATGGGGTTATGGCTCTATCAAAATAACTAAAGCCTAAGCTCGTAACTCATCGAAAATTATAATTCAAGCATCTGAAAGCCTTTACAATGATCATCTCGGCTTGAACATAATAGTTGTAAAAGAAAATAGGATTTCAAGCTCTAAGAATAGTTTATAAGTAATCAACTATCTAGATCATCCATTTAGCACTAAATATAAGTGTTCATAGACCCGCAAGATTTGTAAAAAAAATTTAGTTTTAAATTTTGTTGTCAGTTTTGGAAATTGATTTTAGAGCCATCATGGAGATTTTTGTTGCCGAAAGTGCTTTCCTGATGAGGATTTGAGGTGTGGATATATTTTGTTTTCATAAAGGCCTAGGCCTTTATAGAAACTTCATCCCTCATCTATTCCCAAGTCGTAACACTTGCAATCAATTCAAAATGAATGGAAGGCTACGATTACATAATGATAATGGATAAATGGACATAAAAATAAAATAAAAATAGAATATACAATATATATTATTTTCAGGTAAAAATATAAAAGGAATTATATAGTACGAGTCTGTTTATCTTTGGTATAAGGAGGTCACAATTCCTATTGTATATTAGATGTCAAATTGGATGGTTTAGGATATAAATCACAAAGTTGGAAATTTTTTTTTTTACACACTTACAAGCACCTGACTTGAAATCTGACATTTTTCAATTGTTCTATAGTAGGAATCAAACTTGAGATGTAGCATTGCTATGTCAAACACCAAATTTAAAAAAATGAATTGGTGACCTAGATTGACCGCCCTAAAAACTGTGTCGAATCGGTGGATCAGCGATCCTGACTATTTCTTTCGGTCTTTTTCTTATAAATAGATTTACTTCAATTGTAAGGGGGATCACTCCTTTCTGATGTGACAAATTAGACATGACATAAACCAAGTGTTACATTATTGTGCCAAATGCCCACAATGCTAAAGGTCAACCGGACCCATTAACAACCCTAACCACTATACAAACTTCACTCCTTTCTGTTGTGACAAATTAAACATCACACAAACCAACCATAGACCACCATGTAGCTGGTAAATACAATCTTTCAAGACAAATCATGCACATTTACTGCTCGTGCAGTGAGAAATAGGGATGAGAATTAGGTCATTCTTCATGGGCAATGTTATTCCAATGTTCTCGGTCATATCCAACTCCTCTGGTGTCAGTCCATGGGGAAGTTTCCAGTCGAAATAAAAAAGTAGTTGGGCCAATGCAATTTGTGCAGTAGCCATACCAAAGAGTGCTCCGGGGCACCCCCTTCGGCCTCCCCCGAAGGGGATGTAATCGAAACGGTGCCCTTTATAATCCACCAAACTGTCAGAGAACCTCTCTGGCTCAAATTTCTCTGCATTTTCGTAGACGTTGCTACACCTTCCTATGGCCCAAGCATTCACAAAGACTCTTGTCTTAGCAGGTATTTGGTACCCTTCTAATGTGCATTTCTCCATGGATTCTCTTGGGACCAACAATGGAACTGGAGGATGTAACCTGAGCGTTTCCTTGAGTACTAACTTCAAATACTCTAGTTGCTCCAGGTCACTTTCTTCTACCTTGGCTTTTCCTTTAAGGGCATGCCTTATTTCCCTCTGCGCTTTCTCCATCACTTTTGGGTTCTTCATGAGCTCAGCCATTGCCCATGTCAAGGTTGCAGATGAGGTCTCAATGCCAGCAACAAACATGTCCTGTGTAAATAAATTTATTGTAGTTAGCATCAATGTTAAAAACGTTGTCAGTCTGACTCAAGAATCACCAGAGTCGGATCGAAAACCAAGTGATTATTGGCCAGAAAACCCCAAAGTCACCACCCAAGTCTCTGAATTTCTATTACTCAAGGGGGTGTTAGGCCTGGGCTACTCACGAGGCATATCATGAGTACAATTTTCCGGACACTGGTTTACATTTCTTTGAAACTTAAGTTGGGTGACAGTCATTTTCGAACGATATATGATTCTCTTCTCTACTCTCTGATCATATTTCGATCTCAAATGGAACTTACTTTATTAGGGAGAGATTTTGGAACCAAATTCTAACTGTTCAACTTAAAACTCAAAAGATTTTTGGCCCAGTAATTTTGGGAATTAAAAATCTGCTCCTTCCTCATTAGAGCAAAATAAAGATCTCATCCCTTTTTTTTTATCAACTGGCAGATAATGGATCCAAATCGATGAAATTTAGTTTAAACTTCAAAATAATCACTAATGTAGTGACAAGAGGGCAAAACAAGAAGTTGGATATGAATGTGCCGTTTTATTCTAGAAAAACATTTAATGTTAATACGCGCCCCTTCCAAAACGCCATCGTAGAAATCGGTTTAGGATGTAAAAATACCTTTGGTACATGGATTTTAAGGTATGGATTTCTAATATCTTGGATATTGGCAAAATCCACCGTTTGGATAGCTTAATGACTAAGATACTTAAAATCAAGAAAATCAAAATCATGAAAATAAGACCTAACTTTTGATGAATTTATTTCCACACCCAAACCTGCTTTTTTAATTTCTAAGGCCATGGATTTCACTCATTGACTCCTTCAACCCGAAACATAAAGAATATTAGGTAGCTATGAAAATTTTAGAGAGAGAAATACTTAATGTTTTTTTAAAAAGGAACTATCTAAAAAATTTTAGAAAGAGAAACTATCTCAGATTTTAACTTTTAGAGAGAGAAAGCATGTTAAAATTTTAGAGAGAGAAAGTACTATTTTTTTTTTTTAGAGAAATAAAATATCTCAAAATTTTATAGAGATAAACTATCTCAAATTTTAAAGTTTATAGAAACTATATCAAATTTTTAGAAATAAAATATTTCAAAAAATTTAAAGAGAGAAGCAATCTTAAATTTTAATTTTAGAGAGATAAACTATATCAAATTTTAGAGAGGTAGCTAAAAATTTTTAGAGATAAACTATCTCAAAATTTTTAGAGAGAGAAACTATATCAAATCTTAAGTTTTAAAGAAAGAACGTATTCTTAAAATTCTAGAGAGAGAAAGTATTCTTAAATTTTAAGAGAGAACCTATTGTAAATTTTAGAAAGACAAACTGCCAAAGAAGTTTAGAGAGAGAAATATCTCTAGTTTTTTAGATAGAGAAACTATCTCGAATTTTGAGTTTTAGAGATAAACTATATCGAATTTTGAGTTTTAAAGAGATAAAATATATTAAAATTTTAGAGATAGAAACTACCAAAGAAATTTTAAAGATATAAATATCTCGAAATTTTTGGAGAGAGAAACTATCGCAAAATTAATGTTTTAGAGAAAGAAATTATCTTAAAATTTTAGAGAGATAAACTATATTAAATTTTACATAGAGAAAGTGCATGAATTTTTTAAAGCGAAACTATCTCAAAAAAATAGAGAGAGAAACTCTCAAAATTTAACTTTTGGAGAGAGAAAGTATCTCAAATTTTAAACTTTAGAGAGAGAAAGTATAGCAAATTTTAAAGAAAGAATTATCTCAAAATTTTTGGAGAGAGAAACAATCTCAAACTTGAAGTTTTAGAGAGAGAAAACATCTTAAATTTAACAAAGTAACTATATCAAATTTTAGAGAGAAAGTACATAAACATTTTAGAAAAAAAAACTATCGTAAAACTTTTAGAGAGAAATTATATCAAAATTTCACTTTTAGAAAGAGAAAGTATCTTAAAATTTGAGAGAAAAACTATCATATTTTAGAGAGAGAAACTATTAAAAAATATCTAAAGAGAGAAACTATCTCAAAATTATTATTGAGGAAAAATGTCTAAAGAGAGAAACTATCTCAAAATTATTATTGAGGAAAAATGTCTAAAGAGAGAAACTATCTCAAAATTATTATTGAGGGGAACTATCTCAAGTTTTATGTTTAGAGAGAATTTTAAAATTTTAGAAAGAGAAACTATATTAAATTTTAGAGACAAAAAGCACCTAAAAAATTTACAGTGAGAAACTATCTCAAATTTTTTAGAGAAACAATTTCAAATTTTAAGTTTTGGATAGAAAGTATATTATAATTTAGAGAGAGAAACCATATCAAAATTTAGAGAGAGAAACTATCTCAAAATTTTTTTAGATACACTATCCCAAATTTTGAGTTTTAGGGGGAGAAAGAATATTAAAATTGGGTGCGGTATGTATAGAGCCTAGGTTCTAAACAATCAAATTAGAGCGTACCTTCAAATAGTGTCGAGAAATGTGATTTCAATACTAAAAATCTTTGTGATAGCCTTAGAATATATTTTCATCTTTATTCATAAAGTTTAAAGCTTCAAAATAGAATATATCAACAGATCTATGAAAACTTGAAAATTGACGGTCCAAAAATGTATTACAAAATACATTATTTTCAAAACTTTAAATCCATTTTTTTCTCATGTCCATGCATCTTATGTAGAGATGATCAATTTGAAGATATTTGGGCATCAAAACAACCTCTTCTAATGAAATTTTTGAGGTAGGCTCTAATTTGAATGTTTAGAGCTTCGGCTATGTGTAATCTTTTTTCATTAAAATTTGGGAAAAGTTTATATGGAGCCGAGGCATTGAACAATCAAATTTGAGCCTACCTCAAAAATTTCATCAGAAAAGGTTGCTTTGATGCCCAAATGTCTTCAAATTGATCATCTCGACATTAAGATGCATGGACATGAGAAAAAAATGAATTTCAAGGTTTGGAAATAGTGCATTTTTGTAATGCATTTTTGGACTGTCAATTTTTAAGATTTTTAAGTTTTCATAGATATGTCGATCTACACTATTTTTTAAGCTTTAACCTTTATAAATAAATATGAAAATATATTTTAAGACTATCACAAAGATTTCCAGTATTGAAACCACATTTCTCGGCATTATTTGAAGGTAGGCTCTAATTTGATTGTTTAGAGCCTAGGCTCTATACAAACCGCACCTTAAAAATTTTAGAGAGATAAGCTGTATCAAGTTCTGTTACCAAACAATGGACATAGAAGTGATTGCAAGGAATCCATGAATTTTGTACCGTTTATCCAAACAAGAGATTCGAAGAATCCATGATAAAAATTCTTGATATTGAAAATCCATATATTTCTTTGAATTTCAAATATCTAAGATTCATAATTTCCTCCTATCTAAACGGGCCCTTTATGTTTACTCTAGATGAATATTTTCACTTTAGATCCATGATTTTGCAACAAAACAACTCCACCATGGCTGGCCCCATGCCAGTCATGCCGGTCCCAAGATTGGGAAAAGACGAGGATTCATGAATCCTTATCCAATTTATAGAATAGGATTCCAGTAGCCAACCCTAAATAGTTGGGATAAGACTCATGTGATAATTGTTATGACGACGCCGATGATGATCCATGATTTTGCCACGAGTAAATTTTTTTGGCTATTTTCAAAAAAAATAAATTGAATGGTCTAAAAACAACATCTAAAATAATCTAACTTTAAGATTAAAACTATTATTAGTATCTCTTTTTTAACCAGATTATGTCTACTCTTGAAATCCTAGGCCCAAATTTCATCTCTAGATGAATATGAACGCTTAAATAAGTGCAAAACCAAGAAATAGTCAAATAGAATAATCTAGAGAAGAGTAGTTAGAAAACATTTTCATGTGAAAACGTTTTCCACCTATGGTGATCACAGTTTCAAAGTTGGTCCTACCTAACATGGCTACATTAGCATCATCATTGTCCAACCACACCAAGCCATTGATGGGAGTAGTTCTAGTCTTCTAAGCTGCATGTTTCCATGGCGATTCGAACTGGAGCCACAGACCGACCCGGCTCCAGGGACGCTCGAGCCGCCCTGTTTCCATTGTTTCATCTTTTTGTTTTTCCATTTTTCCGTTGTGTCCTAATCTAGAATTGCAGGCGCATCACTAATCATAGATCCAGGCCGAACGAATAAAAAACTAGTCCTTTAAAAGTGTTAATATTTCAATTCAATAGAGGAGAAAAGGCAAACTGAACAAAAAGGGAAACATTTCTTTAAATAAGTTTTAATGGAAAATTTTAGCACAAACCCTAATTGGCCAAGGCCTAGGGTGACAAAGTAAAGAAGCATCTCTAAATAATAATTTTGATGTTAGAAACCCTTAAATTGATCCTCTTGACTTCTCTAGGAAATAAAAAAATACAAAAAAAAATTTCAAGCCCTAAAAAAGCTATATATTGTAAACATTATCTAAACTGTCTACTAAACTATTTTTGGAGCTTCAAAATTTATAATCAGCAACAAAAATAAAATTTCAAGATGTCAAAGGGTTTTCGATATCAAAACTACATTTTTCAAGATGTCAAAGGGTTTTGAGGTGCAGCTTTGCCTTAATTTGTTTTTTAAACTAAAATTAGGCCTAATATAAACCACATCCTTTTCAAGTTTCACTTTCTTGGTCAGCCTAGTTGTAATTTAGGTAGTACCTATTTAAGGATATGTTATCATAATAATATTTAGAAAGTCACCAAATTGAGCACTCTTCAATCTACTTTATACTAAACTCAAATAGCTCTAACTTTGCCTCCAACTAGTAAATCACCAAATTGTTAATTTTTTAGTTCCAAATTTCATTTCTATCTAGAAAATGTTTTGGTGCGTCATGCATCGTGATGACAAATTTGAAAAACAAAATAAAATAACGTTAAAATAAATATTATTTTGAAAGAATGTAAAATGAGGTCCAAAACACGATAAAGAAGAAAGGTAATAATCTATTTTTTTTATTTAAAATCTAGTTTTTTCATATTCATGGCGTTGTAGAGTAGATTATCAACCTGCTAAACTTTTAGATGCAAAATTCATCTCTAAAATAGATTTATGATAGAGACTGTGACAAGATTATCGACCTGCTAAACTTTTATATCCAAAATTCATCTCTAAAATAGATTTGTAAAAGAGATTACCCCCCCCGCAATAAGGAAATACCTCTCTCAAAAAGTTAACTAGAGGAGTGAAAGTTTTCCAAGGAGGCATAAAATTAAAAAATTCCTCCTAGGATTGTTACACATTTTGAGATGTTTTGTTTAATATAAGAAAATTGAATTAGTAAAAATTAGTGGTATTTTTATGTACATGCATATCCCTAAGTTTGATTAAAAGCTTAAGTTTTCAATTTTTTTTCTTTTGGTCGGTAAGAATGATCCACATCGGATTGACCATTTTAACCACCAAGTTTAGGGCTGGCGTATAAATGGATAGAGTCAACTCCTACCTCGACCAACCTAGACTCAATCGGTTAGACGATCGGACCTAGATCTCGACCACTTGGTAGGGGTCCAGCTCAACACACACACGAAATAGGTTGGATCGGACCCTGGAGCACCCTGGTTAGGTCCGATCCAAGTCAAGGGGATCCGTACCTAACCAGGCGGGTCTAAACACCAACCCCATAATCATCACTGCAAAGCACCTTTCATAGTAAAGGACAAGAAAAACACTTACCAAGATTATTGCCTTGATATTATCGTTTGTTAGTTCTATTTCACCATCACCTTCCTCTTGAAACCTGAGGAGGACAGAGACCAAGTCCCCTTGTTCTCCCACATGCTTTCTCCCACTCTTTAAATGCTCCTCTATCACTTTATCAAGGAAGCAATCAAATTGCATATGGATCTTCTTCATCCTTGCCCTGGTACTTGATAGAAGGCCAAGAAACCCCATAGAAGGGTACAAGTCCTCTATATCAAAGCCACCACTTATCTCAAGTGTCTCCCTAATGATGTCCCTGAACTCATCACCAGCATACTTTTTGCCCAAGGACACTCTCTCCACTATGCTACTAACAAGTGAGAAAATTCTGTGTGTGAGATTGATATGAGTGTAGGAAGCCTCAGCAATGGATTCCACTAGATGAGTGGTCTCCTCCTCTCTAACAAAGCAAAACGATCGCACGCGTTTTGCACTAAGCAACTCCATAATGCAAATCTTGCGAACTGATCGCCAGTAAGCGCCGTATGGGGCCATTACGAGGTCTTTGCAATTATAGGCAATGTGCTTGGCTCCGGAGATGGCTGGCCTACTAGCAAAGACAACATCATGTGCCTTCAAGACTTGTTGGGCTAGCTCAGGTGAGCTAACTACTATGGTCTCTATCTGCCCAAGCTTTAGGTGCATCAGGGGTCCATATTCTTCTGCAAGGGTTGTTAAGGTCCTGTGTGGGAGCCTCCCTAGCTGGTGCATGTTGCCTAGTAAGGGTAGCTTTGGAGGTCCTGGAGGCAGGTTTTTTCTTTTTCTATCTCTAGTTGTCGTGATATTCAATACTAGAAGAAAAATGAAAAAAATGAGAGCATAAAGTGAGGTTTGGGATGAAGTTGGGTTTGGCTGAGGATCTTCCATTGATCCTTCAGATGGTTAGGTTATGGGCCCTTTTGTTCTGGTTTGGAATGGAACTGAGTTCGTGTGTCTTATAGGCACCATAGCATGGGGCAGTTGAGATTCAACTGTTAGGGTTGACCTAGAAATCAATTTCTTGTCTTGATTTTTGAATAAAATAAGCATCATGATGAGACTAGGTTAGGATTAAAAAAATGAAAAAATAGATGCTATTTAGTTTTCAGCACTTGATTATTCTTTTCTTATTTTTAAATAAATATACTCAAGATTCTGATTATAGATGCTTGTTTATGAGGCATCACTTGCGTCTTGTTCTCTAGTGTCCTTTGATGGATGATTTAGTAAAGACAGCAATTTATTAAGCTCGTATGGAACCCAAGCCTTTTGGTAGAATCATTAGAGATCATATGAGAAATTACAAATACACCTATTTCGGGCCATGTGGAAGCACAATAGTGAACAAAGTTGAGGCAAGAGCTCTACTGGAGGGCCTAAAACTAATATATAATCTTGAGGGTCATTACAATGTTTGAAAGTGATTCAAGCAATGCCATTGTTTGTGTAAAAGGAGAATCGAAGTTACCATGCAGATTCTATAGTAATTTTTATGAACTTTTTTCATGTTAAGTAGTGGCTCCTTTGAGCTATATCCATTATTCGCAAAATCGCCCGATCTAACCGCTAACCGCCCGGTTAGATCGCAACAGGCTATTTGCCAGTTCTGGTTTTGGGCGGTTAGGGTGATCAACCGGTATTTAAAAAAAAATTCAAAAAATTATATATAAATTCTCAAAAGTAAAGAATTTGATTTGTAGTGCAATTTCAAATATTCTTTACATTATGGTAAAGATTAAAAATTATTTTGGTCATTAATACTCATTTTTATATTTTCCCATCCTTTTTAGAAAATTTAAAAAATAGCCCTTAAAAAATATTAAATGAGTTAAAATCCATTCTTTTCATTAATTTTCAACTTCATTTGAATGTGCTTGTTTTAATCATTCTTTATATGTTTTGCATATTTTAGTAGATTTTTTTTTGTATCTTTTGTATTTTCTTTCAACATTTTTTTGACCGCTCAGGACTTGTCTGGTTAGAGCAGTTGAATCGGCCGGTTTACTGATTAGGCAGGTTAAACCGCTTCCAAGCCCATGTCTGGTTAACCGTTTCCGTTGGATTTTGCGAACACTCGCTATATCATTGTTTTAGAGAAGCTAATGCCGAAATTGATGTATAAGCAAACGGTGGTGTACACCGATCATTGTTGGTGGTTATAGCCTTTCTTATTGTTGGTGATTGTACCCTTTCTTTCTTGACCCTTATTGAATGAATGAAATTCATAATATAGAAAGCTTTAATATTTCTTTAACTTAGGACTTATAAAGATTCTGTCTTTTTTTAGAAGCATTTACAAATAATTTTGAAGAAGAAAACAACTTCATTATTGCTTACCCATTACTTGTAAAGGAAGTCTTTGCAAATGAGTTTATAAGCTTAGTACACTTGTACTTCAAATTTGTTTTTTAATTTAAGCAACAAAATTTTACTTTTATGGTAAGAAGTGAAAGTTGTATGACTCCGCCGGAATCCCTTTTGAGAATCTTACTTGGTTGTATTTGTACTCTACTTGGTATGGAGGAAGCCGGATGCGACAATACCAGAACTATTTGTTTCTCAGTTAGTGTAATAATGTCACACTAGTCTAAGACTCACAATCAAAGATATAAAAGAAGAACAATCAAAATGTGGTGAAAAAAAAACTTTCTTTCAAAATGAAAAATGTGGTAGACAAAAGTATTGCAAGCTTGATATATGTGACCCTATTTTCTGACTACACACCTCTCTTTAAATAGAGGTTCTTATAACGATATTTATTGCAATAACTACTCACTTACAGTAATAACTACTAACCACCTAGTAGTGCTATAACTTCTTATTACATAAAATTATATACACAACCACATCACTAAAAAAATAAAATAAAAACTAATATGATTTCTAGAAAATACACCCCCCCCCCCCCCCTCCCCCTTAAAGTTATTTTCTAGAAAGGAGACCATGCCTAGATCTTAAGTGTAATGCAATCATCTCCATCACTTCTAGAAATAAAAAATCTAGCCATTTAACAAGCCATCAGGGAGATTCTCCATCAAGGATGGCTGCGTAGCCCACCCTTATAAGTAATATAGAGAATATACTACCTCTTTAACCCACAAATGATGCACTCTTTATTCGTTCCTCCGAAATAGGTTCTTCCATATCAATGAGTGATCTCCAAACAAAGATTCTTGATCTTTAAGAAGAATTGGGAAACAAAAAAATCTTTCCAACTCAATACTAAAACCATTCGACCTTCTACGCAAATTCATCTTCAAAAATACAATCGATCTTCTTCACCAAAGAAGTCAAGACAAAATCACCACTACCCTTGTGGCTCTTATACCATGTGGAGAAAGCCATATGCCACAATGTCGGAACAATCTGCTTCTCAATAGTGTAATAATGTCACACTAGCCCAAGACTCACATTCAAAGAGACAGAAGAAGAACAACCAAAATGAGGTGAAAAATAAACTTTCATTCAAATATGAAAATTGGGGTACACAAAAATATTATAAAACTTGATACAAATGACCCCATTTTCTGACCACACACCTTTCTTTAAATAGAGGTTTTTACAATTGTATTTACTACAATAATTACTAATCACTTAGTAGTTCCATAATTTTTTATTTCATAAAATTATATATACAACCTCACGACAACACTCAAAATAAAATAAAACAAAAACTAGCATAATTTATAGAAAATACACTTTAACATTTTTAACACTACTGTAATCTTAATTATTAATAAAATCAAAACGGGTAGAGGCTCATCATCCCCATTAATTCACAAAAAAAAAAAAAAAGGTTGCATGTTAACGTTAAGAAATATAAAGCTCCAATAAACGTGGATTTTAAAGTGAGATTATTGGGCATCTGCCTCACTAATAAATCTTGTAATTGAGCATGGAGACTCATTTCTGCTGAATCTTTTAATCATATTTTTATATTAGAGTAATGACAAAATGAGACCCTTCCACACTCATATGAGTAGGACCTCAAAAAATCACCATTAAATTTTGACACAGATCTTTAGAAAGATTATGACATGGGTGTGGGACTTGGGTGAATAAGTACATTGATGACTTTTATAGAGATTTGTGTTAAAATTTAATGGTGATCATTCTAGGTCCTAATAACATGCGTGGAGGGTCTCATAGTATCGTTACTCTTTACATTAACTTAACAACTCGAGTTCAATCAAACGAGCGTCGCTTTAAAGTTGACCTCAAACATTTTGGCCAAAAATAAACATTTAGCACGCTCCAATCTGAGCACATTGTTCGCTTGCTCTTTCGGATGAAGTTCCCAATGAGGATATTTATTTTCTCCTTCTAAATGAAAATTTGAGAGCCACATAATAAAGGCAAGATACTTGAAATAAGAAATAGGACCCTTAGAACTTGCTGCCAGAAATCGGACGGTGTCCATTCAATCCCAATGTCAATATATTTTTAGGCACATATAAAGTGATCTTTTTTTTATTTATTTCCTAGGCTATTGTGGGACCCTTTTCTGCATAAGGCTCATGTGACCTATGTGATGCATGTGCGCAAGCAGCCAGAGGTCTTGGTGCAAGGGTACGAACGTGCGAAGTGACATGAAGAAGCAGAGGGCCCGATTATCTTGGATCCCAGAGGGGTGATCGTTGGAATATAGTCGATAGGCATAGGACTGTGGCATATGACCGAGGGAGTGGCGTGTGACCAAGAGAAGGTCGTTTGTGATCAAAGGCCGGTAATGTATGATCGAGGATTGACATCACTTTACCCTGTAAGGATGCTTTTTGGCTATGCGGTGGCACTGAGAGAGGCTGAACCTGACTTCCAAGAATTGCGCACTTGGGCTGCATGGGCTAAGAAAGCCCGCGTGACAGCTACCAAGTTGAGGAGGTACCGTTCTGAAAATTACAGTCCTAAAACAAGTACTCATTTTTACCCAGGGAGTGAATACACGATATGCTCTTGCAGGAGTATATAATCTTTTAGGCGAGATCTTTTGTTTTTTTTGTTTTGTTTTTCATAAGTATTTCATTAAGTAACAATGTATTTGGCTTAAAGGTGAGACGGGCATCTTTATTGTGAGAGAACTTGACTCGAATCACTCCCTTTTGGAGAGAATGGCTTAGGGCCTTGGTGGTAATATTGTCGAGTTTCATGGTAAGGTCTTTGACTCTATTCTCATTAATGTGCAAGAGCCTAGGGGCGCAAATCTCCATTGACATACCACTTTACTTACCCAAAAAAAAATCACAACCCAAATCCACTTTTTGGTTTTTAGAGATCACATATAAATTTAAGAAAAAGTTTATAGAAGTAAGGCGCCCTTCTAAAACCTAGAAGAATAAGGTGTACCGAAGTTAGAAAAACTTCTAATTGCTCATCTTGCCCTCCAAATATATTGTACAAAGACAAAAAAGAATTTCAAATCTTAAAAATAGTTCATTGTGTAACAAGTTATCTGGACTGTCTATTTCTAAGATTTTAAAATGTTTACAGATTTACTCAATCTGCACTATTTTTAACTTTTACAATTCATACTTTGGGTTAAACATAAATTTTCAAGCTATGACAAGGTTTCTGACACCACAACTATTCCTTCGAACAAAACTTAGAGGTACGCCTTACTTGTATAGTATAGTATACGAGAGAGAGAGAGAGGGAGAAAGGATTCCTAGAGATTAAGCAAGGATATTAACTTTTTATTGAAGTCTTAGACTTTAGGATAGTCGATCTCTTTCAAAATGTTACAACACTTACTATGGGTATTTTGGTCATTCTATTTATTACAAATTATTGTTGTTGTTGTTGTTAATAGAATCTATGTAGTGTAAGTTTAGTAATAATAGGAGTAGTTCGAAAATATATGAAAACTTATGGCCTCACTGAGGATATGGCCTCTAATAAAACAGAATGAAGAACCATGATTCATGTAGCCAACCCTAATTAATTGGAAAAAGAATAAAATGATGATTATTAATAGATGCTCCTACATGTAAGTGTGGACTCCCAATACTTTGCTTTAGAACAATCAATAGAAAATGTTTTAAATAAAGAAAAAATTTATATAAGGTTGCAACCTTAAAATATAGGATAAAAAATGCACCTAAAATATCCATCATAAAAGGTTGTTTCGATGTTGGAACACCCTCTAATGGATCATCTTGACATTGAGATGTATGAATACGAAAAGAAGAAAAGATTTTGAGACCACGAAATAGTGTATCTTGCAACACATTATCTGAACCGTCCATTTTCAAGATTTTGATGTGTTTTTAGATCCACTTGATTTGAACCATTTTTAGAGTTTAAACATTTAGAGTGTATCTTGCTAGTGTATTTATTATTTCTTTATGGGTGCGTTTTTTTTTTTGGGTAGTTCAGTAGAGAAGAAGGGCCCCTACCAAGCTTGAACATTTTGGTTATAAAAAAATTTAGGACTTCAAGCTCTAGAAAGAGTGTATATTGTAACAAATTATCTAAACCGTCCATTTAGCACTAAAAATAAGTGTTCATAGATCTGCAAGATCCGTATATTTTTTAGTTTCAAATTTTGTTGTTAACATTAGAAATCTATTTTAGAGCCATCATAGAGATTTCTGTTGCCAAAAATGCTTTCCAAACAGGTATTTGAGGTGAAGTTTATGTTGTTTTCATAAAGCCTAGGCCTTATAAAAACTTCGTCTCTCTTCTACTCCTAAATCCTAATACGTGTGATCAATTCAAATTGAACGGAAAGCTAAGATTACTTATTGATACCAGACAAATGGACATCAATATAAATATATATATATATATATATTATTTTCAGATAAAAAAATAGGGTGCAGTTCGTATAGAGCTGAGGCTCTAAACAATCAAAATAAAGCGCACCTTCAAATAGTATCGAGAAATTTGGCTTCAATACCGGAAATCTTTGTGACAACCTTAAAATATATTTTCATATTTAGTTATAAAGTTTAAAGCTTCAAAAATAATGTAGATCAAACAGAGCTATGAAAATCTTGAAAATTGATGGTCCAAAAATGTGTTATAAGATGGTACTATTTTCAAAACTTGAAACCCATTTTTTTTTTATGTCCATGCATCTTGATGTCGAGATGATCAATTTGAAGATATTTGAGCTTCAAAGCAACCTCTTCTAGTGAAATTTTTGATGTGGGCTCTAATTTAAATGTTTAGAGCCTCATCTCTATATGAACTTTTTCAAAAAGTATAAAAATAATTGTATAGTACCTCCCTTTTTCTTTGATACAAGATCACAATTCCTACTAGATAGTCAAGATACACAACCACCCGATTTGAAATCTGATGAGAGTGATTGTAACCTTGTATTAAAAGTAAATGAGCACTACATATGCTTTTCCAAAATAAAATACTTAATACGGTTCATGACATTGTTCAAATAAGACTTTCATACAAAATATAATCGGCATTTTATTCAAGAAATGTCACTAGAGAACAACCTCGTGTTTTCTTTTTCTTTTTTATTTTTTTATTTTTTTTATTTTTTTCCTTTTTGGATTGCTCTATAGTAGGAATCAAAATTGAGATATAGCATTGCTATGTCAAATGCTAAACACTTGAACCGAAGCCTGATTCCTTACATAACGACACCGGCATGATAGATCCTTTTATTAAAAAAAGCTAATAACTAGAGTGTCCAAATCCCACCGGACCAAGTTGTACATTTGATCCCGTAAGGAAAACACTTAATGGATTTTTAGCTCAATGCACTCGGTGCCATGGAAACCACAGTTGATGGATTTGTATCTTAATACTTTCCAAAATGATTCCCATTCTGGTCTATTTCAAAAGAACAAAATCATGTTTGAGCTCTTAACAGGCAAAAAATATGTCCATTCATCAAATAAATCTCAATATAGTCTTGCTACACTGCCAAAGCTGAAAAGCCTTTTAGGGTGCAAAACATTTTTATAGGTTACATGCTCGTAGTGGGAGACCAAACTGTATCAAACCCCTCGTTTGGGGAAGTTTCTTGTGACCTAGAAATTTTTTATTTCATTTATTATTCACCTTGTAATCAATCTCAAGAAAAAATAGGAATCAATCTGAAAAGAGAAAAAGCAATAACTCTAATTTCTTAAAACCCTTCACTTCTACACACCTCCCTCTCTCTCTCTCACACACACACACTCATACGCGCGCACTTCTACACACCTCCCTCTCTCTCTCACACACACACACTCATACGCGCGCGCATAGAAGCCAGAAGCAACGACACTGGTGTTAGAAAATCAAGGCAAGACTGCCTCTTCAATTTGATGAATGGGAAATTCAATTCCTGAGCTTGCTTAGATGAATTTCCCGAGTTTGTTTAGGAAGGAAATCACCTTGACTTCATCAATACATCCAAGAGGAGTATGTTGTTGCCATGCCAATTAATGAGAGAGAGAGGGAGTGAGAGAAAGAGCAAATTCAAAAATTAGTCAGCTGAAACGTTAGCCCAGCTGAGTGCACAGAGAGAGAGAGAGAGATTGACTACTCCATGTGCATCTTAATGTGTGAGTGTGTACATGCAAGTATCAACAGAAAACCACTGGACAGGTACCTTTAAATGCCTGTTCCATTCTCATCACAAAATTTTGTTCATTTGGCTAAAGACTCATGGCACTACTTTGGTTAAAACTTCCTGGTGTGGGAATGCATGTGAGAGAGAGAGAGAGAGAGAGTATTAGACCTAATACTTGGTCAAAACTTCCTGGTGTGGGAATGCATGTGTGAGAGAGAGAGAGAATATTAGACCTAATACTTGGGCCTCTTAATTCGACGCCAGGCAAGGAAAGCAACAAAAGCTCCACCCAAGTGTCCAGCTCCTGAGATATGGATATCCCCCTGCAAGAAATGAGACAGACTAGTGAATTCCAGAATAAGCATTACCTAATCGTACACTCAGTAAACACTGTGTTAGGGGTTTCGTTTGACCCTTAAAACTCCCAAATCATCTCTTGTCATCTATAAGGTCTAGAAAAAGAGTTGCATTTTGAACCCCAGAAAAATGCTCCAAATGAACATCGGCTGCAACAAGAACTCTAGACTGTTCATATGATGTAGAAGGTGAATTAAAGATGATTTGTGGACTTTCAAACTAAAAGATTCCCCTAATGGGTGTATGAGGGAGCATAACAGGCATATAATGTCATCTCATGGGACTGCATTGTATATGCGCCCATCTTGACTCAATACCCCATGTAGACATGTAGTGACACCGCCAGACATGGCGGAATTAAGATATGACAAAATATATCAAATGGTTCCAGCTTAGGGATTAAACTTGGAATTTGCTCAATGAGAATGCCACATACTACTACTTATACCATTCGTTTCTGTTCTAGATACAAAAGAGTTAGTTGTATATTCATAAGAAAACTTATTTTATGAATAAAAGAATAATTCTACATATATAATTAAGGGAAAATTTCGTATAGGCCCTTAATTCTTCATGTTATTTCATGGTAGACCCTCCTTCAATTTTTCTTTCAAGCAGCATAAGGAAATCTTTAAAGATTTCACCGTACCCTCTCATCTCTTATTTCCCTATTTTATTGACTTTTCGAATCTTTTTATACTATTTTAACTCAAAAACTTTTTTAATGGGTGGAAAGAGGAAAAGATGGTTAAAAAGTTTTTGGGTTGAAATGATATAAAAGGATTTGTTGAGGCTAATTTTTGTAATCAAAAGTCAATAAAAGAAGGAAAAATTTTATATAAGAATGCTACCTTGTAATGTAGAACTACGGATGCCCCTAAAAAATCTATCAAAAAAGGTAGTTTTAATGTTGAAAAACCCTTTGATTGATCATCTCGACATCGAGATGTATGACTATGAAAAATAAAAAGATTTTAAGTCTCAGAAATAGTGCATTCTACAACATATTATCTACATCATCCATTTTCAAGATTTTCATATGTTTATAGATCTACATGATTTTAACCATTTTTTAAATTTCAAATTTTATAATTAGATATAAAATATAGAGATAAGAGATGAGGGGGTACGGTGAAATCTTTAAAGGGTTTCCTTATGCTGCTTCAAAGAACAACGGAACGAGGGTTTACCAGGAAATAATGTGAGGAATTAGGGGTCTATCCGAACTTTTCCATATAATTAACCATAGCTACTCTTCGGGGAGAATTACTAGTCACTTTAATACATGTCAGACATTGACACTTGTGTCGGTGTCCATGCAACACAGATACAAGACCTAAAATGATAGCATTAAAAGTAATGCATAGACAGTATGATGCATTATTCAAAAAATAGTTCTAATATTCATGCGAACTCTAAGAAAGCATATGTGCATTAGCTCATTTGTCAAAATTTGAAATTCCAAAGAGCTCCAAATACTTTTTTCCAAATAATTATTGAAGGATTTGCAAATAACTTGTGAAATATTTCGGCTATTTTCAGAAGACTAGACAACTTTTTTACTTCAAAATGTACAATAAAACTCCCATGATCTTTTTTAGTTGTATAAAAAAATAATAGTATTAACCTGATACGCTCTGTAAATATCAGTCCCAATCAGGATAGCTCCCTGAAACAAAACCCACAAAGAATTACAACAAATCACACACGTACACACACACACACACAGAGCCCCGGATAAATATAAAGTTTGATGAAGTTACCAACAGTGCACCAGGAACAGGTATGATGAGATTGAAATAATACACAGCCTTTGGAAATAGAAATATATTGAGCAAGATTATTGCATTTACCGCACCACTAGCTCCCTGATATATGGAAGTCAGCATAAAGAATATATAGAAAAAGTTACAATAGAATTTATTTGTTCAATCATTCTTAATTAAAATGAACATGAACAATTATAAATGTAAGACCAAGGAAGAGAAAGTACAATAAGTCCATCACATTTCATCTCCTAAATCATTAAGGAATTTATTACCAGAGCTCCAGTACTTCTCCACAGGCTAGGTGACGTTGTTTGAAACCTCTAACATAAAAGCAATGAACAAAGTGTCAAAGCATTGTCAACCATACACACATATGTGTGTGATGCACAATTGCATGCTCAGTCGTGCTTCAAATAATCCATGCAGAAATTTATTAGATTTATATAAAACTATGAGATTGAGAGAAGTTCCTCAATATGCAAGGAATATTTTAAACAATAGATAATTTTCATGACTAAGTGGAGATGGACCATTCTATTTAATTGTAAAAAAATTTATTTTGATTGAAAATATTACAAAGACATCAATAATCTAAGAAAATAGTAATGATAATATTAAGAAAAACGACATGTTAGACTGAAACCCACAATATTTAGGTAAGACTTCAATCTCCAGCATCCTGCAAGATTTAAATCTGGTACGAGTAACTGTTAGCCCTTCACAGCTTATTTTGATCATAACCAAAAAAATTACAAAACATACACAAAAATGATTTTGAATGCAGATTTTGAGCATAGTGTCTGAAACTTTTGGTGAACACCATTGCATACTGCACCATGTTGAGGACAGGTTGATTCGAACATGTATTTGGATCAAAGACACCCTCCAAAATACCAAATAATAGACGACTTTCGACCATCAAAGAAGAATACCTTCCAGGATGGTTTTATTAACCGTTCATGCACCAAAAAGAATACTGAGCCAGCAATTGCCCCTGCGAGATATAGATTCAGCAGATATCGAGGTCCAAAGAGCCTTTCAATCTGATCAAGTGTGAGAAAAAAAAAAAAAAAAGAAACAAAGAAAGAGGATCAAGTACATTACAAACATCGCAAAGCTTAGAATAAAACTTTGAAGGGTAAACAAACATTTCGCTCATAGATGGTAGATATTACATTAAGTTTTTTAGCATCCAGAAACAAAATGAAAAACGAGATAAATACTAGTCGTACTATAAAATAGGGAATCCTGAGAAGGTCATTTTCTTTTAACATAAAGAGGAGAACGTCTGGAAGCAATATTAGTACATTACAAGTGTTTAAGCATTTTGCTACTCTAGGGTGGTGCACCCTTCCTCTAAGTTGATTTTCTAGCCCGCCAAGAGGAAAGATATACTATTCTGATTTTTTCCCCTACATTCTGGTAGAGACTAATTGGAGAAATACAGAACAAGGGTATTCCGGCATGATCAGGCCATCAAACTGAAAAACTTGGCTGCCAGTTGTACTCCACGATGCAATATGTCAAGTTGTCAACAAAACATAAATGAACAAAACAAATATTAACTTTCCAACTCCTAGGAATGTGATCCCAAGGGTTGGAACAACAATATGAGGAAAAAGAGGAATTACAGTGTTCCATATGCCCCCCTCAAGGAAGTAAACTTTTCATGCACGAACCCTTACAGAACTTTCCAGCCTGAATTCAAAGACAGCTTTAAATAGGATGAAAAATGCGAGGAACATGAATGATTATGGGATGGAGCATTTCAGGGTCATGAAGTGAAGAGAAGAAATTCCCCACCATGTTGATTAGCTAAGAAAGGCGGTTTTTGGTTCAGGTTGGCAATAATCGTGAAACCATTCTTATGTGGAAGGTTATGCAGCAAATTATGCCTACCCAATTTAAGCATAACAAAAACAAAAAATTGCTCTGACTATAAAAAAGGTAGCCAGCAACTGCAAGAAACATCTCTTTCTGATTTTAAAAGATTCAAATTGGTAGAAATTACATCAGACTGCAGCTGCTAACAATATCCATATCTATGGCACTTACATGTTCTACAAATAAGCCATGTGCACTCAAAGGAAGCCACACAAGTCATATAAGGGATATAAGCATACCTGGCCGCCAAAAAAGTAAAGGCCAATCATGTTGCTAAAAAGATGGTCGAAGCTTATATGACTAAATGAAGAAGTGATTATTGTGTGTAGATGACCTTTTCTAATGTTGTCCATTGAGATCTGCTTGCAAAGAGAAAAATCTCATCACAGCCAAATATATCCTTGTATCCTCTCAAAAAGAAAAAGAAATAAAAGGAATATTAAGAAATGTAGAAGAACAAAAATACTTTGTTCTAGCATCTACTCTTATGATGTTCATGGAGTAAGAATAAATTACATTTGATGTGAGACAAGCTAGAATGCGAGAGTGATAAGCTCAAATTAAACAGCCACCAGATATTGATATTAATCTTACTCACTAATTAAAAGGCATACGTTCCTATTTAATAAAATTGGCACAATGCCGCTTAGCTCGTAAAGTAGACATAACCAATGGCAATGCAAATATCCAGTTTACAAAACACTTCAACATTTCCTCTTTTCTTTAAAAAACTAATTGCAAACAGCCAAACAGGGAGCTCCTCCAATTACTTCCTCAAAGAGTAAAAGCACTATCAATTTTTTAATCTATTTTCTTGTATTGGGTCATTCTCATGTTTTGTCCAAACAGATTTACAGTACCATGTTCGCTTTGATGACTTTTCTCAACATACTTGTACACTCATATGTTTATGATGCACTTATCTTTTTTATAGAATTTTGAGACCCACATGGAGAAATCTCACAATTGACTTTAGAGAACAATGTTCAAATATTTAATGAATAAGTTAGAATGCATGGTGGGAGTTTTCTTTTCCGATAAGTGAAATGCATGACATGGGGTTATCAATGCACTACTCCTTAACACGGCACAAAAGAATGCTGTTATTGAATGTGAATAAGCATATGTAAGAAACTACCCATTCTCTTCTTCGATCCAAATCCAAACTTTTCTACATGAACAGGACCATGATATGGATACAACAATAGTTCAATTTAAACTATTTAATAGGATTCCCACAACAATCTTGTCTGGAATATCGCCTTTTGTGGCCATCTTTTATCTTGCATCATGTTTGCTTTGTTCCTCCTATTTTGCTTCAAAGCACTGAACTAACTTTTGAAAGCAGCCAAGAGTATTTTCTTGGAAATCCAACAAATTGAAAAGGATCCTAAAGTTAACATACTTGGATTTACCCAAAAAAATTAACATACTCTTACTATAAAAGTTAGATACTCTCCTTATGTTATTTCAACAGCCTTTGGCCAATTCAAACGTATTTTCAGCTTGCTTCATCAACATTAATGGTCATTCACTTGAGACAGTCACAATGCCATGAGACGAATACTCGCTTTTCTTGAAAAATGCATGGTAGAAGAAATTTAAGCCAGGAATATTACTAATAAGATATGATTAAAAGGACTATAGACACTTTGGTCTCTATGCAACAAGTGGAGCAAGTTGGGGGAAGTGAAGAACATTGGACATATTCTTCTTATGCTATTCCAGTATTCGTCCTTTTGTTTCAATTACGAATGACATTACTTTGATGTTTTTGTTCCACCTATTCTGTATGAGTTTGATTGTTTCATTTGCTTGATCATGCATCCATAAAAGGCCAAGATTTGCATAAATATTGGAAAAGGCCAGCAAGAAATTGAAGCAAAAGAATAGAACCACATATGGGACTTGGTTCCCTTCCAAGTTTAAGCAGACTTATATGCCTAGGACCTTATCACTTGGATCTATCAGGAAATGAGAGGCTTGCTTGGTAGTTGATGTGAGCATTTGTCAAAGAGATAGGAAAATGATTATTCTTAAAAAATAAGGAACATCTTTTACTTATAAAGAAACCCTAGTTAAGGTCCTCATTGGATTATTAGACTATGAGGAGATATTTACTCCGTTAGTAAAAGATACCACAATTTGAATATTTACGTGCAACCCCTACATCGATGTATGTCTAGCAAGTCCTGAAACTGTATATCAAACAAAGCGATCTATGAATTCAAACAAGCTACTGGGACTAATAGTTCAAAATCTAGATTGAGATTAAGTTTGTTATTGTAGTAAGACTCCTGAGAAGTATTATCAGGACATTTTATTCAAAAAACAGTATTATCAGGACATTGAAGCACAAATGGCAGCTCCATACGTGGTCCACGTTCAGAGAGGCCGCAGGTTTAAAGAAATTCTAGCTGTGGTCTACGACAGGAAAATGTTTTCCCAGGCTGATTTAGTGTGGTAAGTTTCATAGATGTGGAAGAAATCACTCTCTGAGAATAATATAATTTTCAGGCTTCTCGTCTTGGTTCCCCTATTGTAAATGGAGACTATTCAAACATCCCAAATTAGACTAGCAGGGAGCTTCTATTCCATGACAAAATGTAGTCATGCTAGAGGAGATCCTAAGGACCACTAGTTATTAAGAGTTAGTTTTTCAGCATTTCTTAAAGAACTTAGGCAAAGGTCAATTCTCTAGCCACATATGGAGCCTCTAAAGAGCCATTGACTGTTTGGGACTGACCTTCCACTTTTCTCTTGTAATGCATCACTTGTACTCTCCACTACGTGCTTTGTAGTGTATCACTTATACTATTACTTGATAAGCAATGCAAATCATTTACTAAAGCGAAATTCGTGGCTGTCCCTAAATGTCTTTGTGTTATGTTTAGTCCGCAACTTCGTTAATGGCCAGAAGCCTGCTAAACTCCCAAGAGAAACTCTTATGTTCAGGTTGGAAATGAAGATCAGATTTCTGTTGAAGCACAATTCTGTGTCATCTAGTGCAATCAAATGAGTCAGTGTGGCTGATGCTAATCTCTAAACATCAATTTTACACTGTTTTAATAGTACTCCAAAATGTTACATATATTCAACCAAAACATTTCTTTCCTATATAACATAAAATCGTCAGTCGATAACATAATAGAAGCAATAAATGGAAATATCGATATGAATCTTGCTTTCTGACGTCGTTATGATGCAAGGAAAAGGGCATGGATTTAGAAATAAGCATCTTTTACTTCCAATCCCAAGCAAGACCTACAAGAAAAATTTTAGTCTAAAAGAAATCAAATCATTTCCAAATGGGAAGAGTTATGCATTAACTAAACATGTCCGTCAAATGCATCTATGTCCATTTTATAGAGACTCGAAAAAGATAAAATCCCTAGATTTCCATGATATTGATTTGTTATGTATTTAATACTTATAATAACTCAATGGTCAACTGAAAATAATAGCATGGGCAGAAGGACAACCACAAAATTCTCCTTCATAAAAGTAGGGTCTAAGGTCCTCCATAAGAAGAAAGCCACAACATTAGCTCCAATAAGGCTCCACAACATGCTACCATGTGATGAGAACAGCGATCTCCTGCAACGAGGATGAATTGAGGATAATTATATCTCATGCCAAGGAAATTAGTCCCACGAAGGATTTGAAATTGAAGCCTTCCGAATGAGAACATTACACAATGCAAAAACGTGGCACTCTTCGGCGAAAAGATATAGAGAGAGAGACTAAAATCAAGGATGCAATTCACCGAACCACATTATAACCTTCACACTGCCTACATGTGAGAAAGAGAGAGAGAGAAAGAGAGAGAGAGAGAGAGAGAGAGAGAGAGAGAGAGAGAGATCACTACCAACCAAAGAAAGTAAAATTAATAGAAGTACTTCCGTAGGTAACAAACTACACCTACAACGAAGGAAAGGGGAAAAACGTACGAGGGAACGTAAA